ATGGTACTATTCAACAGGAACAAGTGCACGATACAGCTCTGAAAACACTACAGAAATCAAGGATGGAGCAAGAGGTGTGGGAGAAGTACAATTAAAGGACTGGGTGTGAGAGGATGCATTTGCATTGGTATTTCAGTTCTGCTCAGATGTAGAAGCAGATCATCACTTTCAAGCTTTGCTTTAGACTACAGGGTTATCTTGGAACACAGGAAACTAGATTCCTTACTGAGAAATGTGATCCAGAAGATGTGTTTTAGGTGGACCCAAATGCATTCAGCTGCTAGGAGGCAGCAGACTGCAGTGCTCAGCTAAAGTTAATCCAAGGTGGAAATCTGACACGTGGATGGTGTGCAAATCATGAGCTCAGCACCAGGTGTTGCACTCCACATCTTGGTCCCTGTTGCCACACACCCCTTGTTAAAGCACTCATCACCTCAATGCATCACAAGGTGACTGACTATTGAATCGGCTGTGCTGTGAGTGAGACAAATGTGACAGTAGGATTACATATGGACTGTGAGGCAACTAAAGCGATCCTTTTCTGTCTGGTAAGACCTCTCTGAGAGTACTGCAGTCAGCACCACACTTTTAATTAACAGTTGGAGCAGTTTAGCCTAGAAACATCAGAAGAAAGCCATGAGAAAGATCATCACTCTCAGAAACACAAGTTGCAGGAAAGATGTGGGACTGTTTTATTTCTACAAGAAAAGGGTGAAACAGTAACAGCTTTCATGTCCAACAAAGGCTGCTGCAAAGAGAAGGGGGATAAACTGACACCTTTGACAGCTGTGTCTTCTGTGAGGGAAGCAATACAGATTGCTCCTACAAAAATTTGCCTAATAAAATGGCTGAGAAAGCAGTAAACAAAGAGCTTCAGCATCCACAACACAGGAAGGTTTCACAAACAGGTGAGACAAGCATCTGTCAGACTTGGTTCAAACACAATTCATCCTGCTGTAGGAAGAACCTCTTAAGACTACAACCAGAGCAATTTTTTTGTTCCTTTTTTGAATTAAAATAATAAAATTACTATTTCCTGCTCCTTTCATCTTGTCTTTCTAACTTTTGAATCATTCCACCGATCTTCCATCTGTGTTTCATGTTACATCTTTATGATATTCCATTATCCATCCCATCTCCACTATTCCACTTTTGGCATTGTACTTCATCTGTGATATTGCTTCTACTAGGATATCCCTCCTTTTTCCCATGTGCCAAGCAATCTGCCTGACTTAATTCAATTTCCTACATAATCAAGTATTTGCATATAACTGCTTAACTAGACATTGTACTTTCCCCTTCCCCATTGTTCACTTCCCCCTAGTGTTTATGCAGTGGGGAAAAATAACAGTGTTGCAGGTGACTTCTTTTTTTTTCAGCATCTCCTTTTATCTTTACTGACAAAGAAAACTCAGAGATTACCACCATTTTCCTTAAAATAGGATAACCCAGTGTAGAAGAATACAACAATAATGCAGAGGAGAAAGGACACAGCTAATCATTGAAGAAGTTTACACAGATTATCTTTCAAATAACAAAAGGCATCACTAGTGCTCTAGTATTATGGGGATGGATATAAGGAAAAATATTATGTATGCATACAAATCTCTATGGCTTTTTCTCAGATAATATACAGGTGCATATGTAAAAGAACAGATAATGATTACTGCATGTTTCTTTGCTGGTATTTCTGCTTTGCTCTGGTGCTTTGAAAGCACCCAGCATAACCCATGGGCATGGAGCAGAGCTCCACTGCCACCAGCTGCTGAGTGACAGCCCAGTGTCAGCCTTTGGGCTGAGCTGCCAGTTACCAAAAATCCGTGTGTCCTTTGTGATATATTTCTGCTTCCCATCTGTCACGCGGATACACCACAGTAAAACACCTCGTTCTATAGAAAATTACTGTCTTCTTAGATTCCAGCTACTGCTGTCATGAATCTGGGAGACTAAATTCCTTCTTTTGGCTTTAAAACCACACAGTTGCCATGAGATGCTGCATTTTCTTCCAGCACAGACAGCAGTGCCAGGATGTGCCTATACACTCTCTATATGCTCATATCCTACTGCCTGAATTAACCTCCAGACATTCACTGCCAAGCCTACAACCTTCTTTTGGTTCAGTTAGAGCCAGCTGACACAAAGACATGTCAAAAGCAAGAAAAAGAAGGGTTCTCTGGAGAAAATTAACTTAATTACTATATTTTTTAGAAGAAGGCATGCAGAAGACCTGGAATTTAAATGTAATCTTGCTTTGTCTTACATGTGATTTTCAGAATTAACAGATGCACTATCAGTTTTACAATATAACACATTTGTTAAAAATTTAATTGGTGAATAGTTTATTTCTAATATATAATTTTTGCTTTCATAACAGCTATGGGCATTCTTATTACCTCTTACAAAGAAAATGTGAATTAGGCTATTTATTCAAGCAAATTATCTCTCTTGTTAAAAAGGGTATTAGGCTATATTAGACCACAAGTACTAAAGAAAACCTTAGCTCTCTTCAGCTTTCTACGCCTTTTACACTCCCTTTATATCTTAGATAGCACTTCAAGAAACCATATTTTGGAAAAAAAACCAAACAAACATTTCTTCCATTATTTTTTTCTTTTTATTTCCCTCTTTTTTTCTTCTCTGGCAAAACAAGTTCAGTGTTCACTAGTAAATGAGGCACTCAGCATAAGTGAGCAATGGAAGTACTTTATAGACTTATTTCTCACTGGTGGATCCATTTCTATGTTAAATATGTTTATAAGCTCAAACAAAACATAATTCCACTGATCTACCAAATATAATACCTGATATCATTTGTCTGAGTTTTGGCTTTTTCCATCCTTAGTTCGGAGAGGAGAATGAATTGCACAGTTCACTCAGCAAAAACTTGAGGATTTCTTGAGGACAAATACAGATGCATTCAAATGGATGACTGCGTGTTACAAATAAGTTTTACTTTTTATTTTAGATAGGAGGCTACTTTGTTAAAAACAAAAATTAAGGAGAGTTGAGTCTTATTAGGTACTGAATTGGACCATTTATTAATATTACATAAGCAACCCTTCTGTTCTTTTTGAAATACAGACTATCCCCAGAAAGGAATTTCATAGCTTTAGTCACATTAGAGCCTCATGGGACATTAATAAAGCCCTCAGAGAATGATTTTCAAATATGTCAAAGGACCTTGCAACTTTAAGCATGTGTCAGAGCACACAAATATGCAAGACACATTCAGATGGTCCCTTTGAGGATCTATTGGCATGCTCAGTGTACTACTTGTCAAAGTACACGGAGTCCAGCTGCAGAGAGCCAGCGTTAACCCCCTGCTGCACTGCAGAGCCTCCCGTGGGACCTGTCGGAGCCACACAGATCCTCCAGCACACAGGTGCTCAGCCCTTCTTTGCCTGAATCCTCACCTTCCCTAATGACCAGAAGCAGCTGCCTGGGCACCTCTCTAAGCCAGGGCTCCCCCAGCTCAGTGCAGGAGTGCAGCTGGGCCGGCACTGAGGCCAGCTGAGGGCTACATAGCTACGTACAGAAGTAGTCCAAGAAAAAATCTTCACAATTGATTCTCAGAAAAAGAATTTATGTGTCTATTTTGCTAGCAAAGCTTGCACCCTACAGCATAGGCCACAGCTGTTTGCATCCTTGACTCACAGCTCTTATCCCTAAGTCATGGCAGGTAGGGCGAAGCTGAGACTTGATCTTTTTCATTCACCAAACAAATGCAAGGTTTGAGTCAAATAATTTAAAATCATGCCAGATTTTTAAAAAGCAAAAACTGTTCTGGCTAGAGGAAAATACAAAAGAAAGTGAAAAACATCATCTCGGTGTTTTTAAAGGCAGTATGTATAAATTGCAGCATTCTGAATGGTGCTTCATAGAAGAATGTAAGCAAAGGGTCATAAACAACAGGAGCAAAGTTTATTTCATTTCATGCATTTCTTTTCTTTACAATTTCACCCACAAATTGTAAAACCTGTTGTTCCCACAGCTCTAATTAGGACAGTTAGTTATGAGGCAGTTTAAGAATTGAATTGGGGCCCCTGCAAATTAAATTGCTGCTTTTAAGTACCAAATTGATGGACAGTCCAAGAGACAGGTCAGACAAGTCTGTCTGATGCACAGACCCTGAGACCAGGGTCTCCTGTTGGATGTCTTAGGTGTTCTGCTCTGATCCCACCTTTTGTTAAGGGAGAACAGCGTGTGGACCTACTGCAAGACCTGTGGAACAGACCTTTCTGATTCTGTATTTGTATTATGGGTCTCACTCTGCAAGTACAGAGCGAACACACTGCCATTGCATGGATAATACATTAAAGACTTTGAAGTTGCCAGGTACAGCAATAAAGGAACAGATATAAAACCTCAAAGAGAATTTCACTATGAGTAATATATAAATATCAAAAATCTATTTTCAACATGAAATATACAAGTCCACTGTCCAAATGCTTCATGGAACATTCTTCAGGAAATTGAAGAACAATAATAAAACAAACTGGCACTGACTATTTGCATGAAGGAAATACTGAGAACAACAGATAGGTTTATAGCTACCTTTTATAATAACCCTTCATAAAGTATTTTGAAAAATACCTTCCAGGTTCTAATCTGATTAGAAACAGACTCCTCCTCAATGCTTTTCTATAGCATAAATAAGCAGCAATTACTTTGAAAAGTACGCTACCCTTGCTCTCTGTGCTTCTATGTCTTTCCCTCCTATTTTCTCTTTGAGAGAGGAAAACTGAAACAGTTCAGCTGGATGTTAAAACCCATAAAATGGATGGAAAAGAGAGTGCTGTAAGACATGGAAGACAGAATACTCAGAATGGTATTTTAGAAATTGTACATAAATTTTCTGAGAAGAGGGTGCAGGATTCATATTAAAGGACAAGAAGAGGCTGAGGTGTCTATTTTGTACATCCAGAGTGAATACAAACCTTTTATTTCCAAGATATTGATGTTTTGCTTAGTTTGTTTCAATTACTTGGTTTTTTTAACAGATGAATAAAAATTCTTCCAACACAATGGCTTTGGCTGCTAACACTTCTAACAAAAGAGAGACAGTGTGCATATTTGGAACTGGAGATTTTGGACGAGCTCTGGGGCATAAGATGATTCAGTCTGGCTACCCAGTGGTGTATGGAAGCCGAAGCACCCAGATATCCAACCTGATTCCCAAGGATGCAGAGGTGTTGGGCCACGCAGAGGCAGCGCAGAAAGCTGCCGTCATCATTATAGCAATCCAGAGGCAGCATTACAACTTTCTTACACCACTAGCAGAGGTTCTCCGTGGAAAAGTCTTGGTGGACATAAGCAACAACTTGAAACTAAACCAGTATCCTGAATCGAACGCGGAGTACCTGGCTCAGCTGCTGCCCGGCAGTAAGGTTGTGAAAGCCTTTAACACCGTGTCAGCCTGGGCCTTGCAGTCGGGCACGCTGGATGCAAGCCGGCAGGTAAGGCTGAGCAACGGGGACTTCCTCTGTCACAGAGCTACACATCACATGGCTTCTTCTCAGCTACACAAAACACACCTGGGTCAGCAGAATTAGGCAGAGTTGAGATGGTGTTTTCACTATAATCTCTCATTTCAAACTAAATGTGAGCTAAAATTTACCTTGGATTTTTAATATGGCATAATAGTGAATTATAAGAGCTTGCCTCTGAACTCAGAAAGACATTTAGAGACACCAGAGAAGTAAGAGAAGAAAGATAGCAGAGCTACAAGAACGACAACAAATCAGGAGTGTTACATCTGTTGGTCATCAGAGGAGTAAAGTTAAACAGAAATGAGATAGGAGGGATTTTCACAGCAAGAGTAAAATGAAGAAAGCAAAACAAGGGAGGCAAGGGATGTGATAGGGCAATGAGTATTGGCAAAAGAAGTATGCTGAAAGATGAATAAATAAATAAATATTTTTTTTTTAAATCATCGTCACCTAAGTTTGACACAGCATCAGTGTGTGCAAAATGTTTTAACCTCCTCAACCACAGGCCAGCAGGCACAGAGCTGGCCATAGGAAACAGATAAATCATTTATTATGGCCCTATTTTCTGTCACTTCAAAGGACAGTGCTCTTGTACAAGACATGAAATCATCCAGCTACTCAAATCATTGCTAACTTTGTTCTCTGCTGCCAGATAAATGGTTTTGGCTAGACACCGAAGGGCTTCCAAGCCTAGGTTCTATAAACCTTCACCATCTCAACAAAAGCAGAAATTGCCCCCTTTCTCCCAGGTCCAAAATGACTATATTGTCCTACACACTCACAGAAAAGATGATTTCTTCACTATTTTACTAGACCTGGAAAGAACTAATATCTACTTTTGTGACAGACAAATCGTGTTTTAAAGATCTCTGTCCTCACTTCCCTGGAGTATTTATGGACTACTATTTATGCTACCACTATAGCAGCAACTGAAAATTTTGCTCTTACTTATTGCTATTGAAAATTTTGCTTCAATTTAGTCCTATAAAATCTTGTGCTTACAAGCTACTTGCAGATCTTCAGAGAAGTATGTCAAGTCTTCCACTCAAAAACATATACTAAGCCTGTTATATATTATTCTTTCCAAATATAAAATTTTGCCACTTGAAACAATCTTCTTCCCTAAAGTAAACAATTATATTCAAAGTTCTTTGACTTATTTGCCAAAAGTACCTATAGGGTACTTTTTTGCCTATATTAATTAAGGTCAGCAATAAGCCAAGTAAGTAAAGCAGCAGCCCAGGAAGCTTGTGCTTCCATATCCAGGCTTGTGCATCCATTTCCAGGCAGGATGGCAGTAGAGAAAGTCACAAAAATTTGTAAAAAAATAAACTTCTGTTTGTTTTTGTCTGCAGGTGTTTGTCTGTGGAGATGATGTGGAAGCTAAACAAATGGTCATGAATATTGTTCGTGCACTGGGTCTCACTCCACTAGATAAGGGATCCCTCTTGGCTGCTCAGGAAATAGAAAATTACCCTCTGCAACTCTTTCCAATGTGGAAGTTTCCCATCTTTTTGTCCCTTGGCCTAACTGCATTCTTCTTCTTCTACTGTGTGGCTCTTGATATAATTTACACTTATATTTATGAAAATAATAACTTTTCATTTTTTATTGCAATTACCATTCCAAATCGGGTCTGCCCTGTAATGGCACTCATCCTTCTTGCCTTGGTGTATCTGCCTGGTATATTTGCTGCAATTATTCAGTTATACAGAGGTACCAAGTACCGCCGTTTTCCAGACTGGCTGGACAAATGGATGCTGTGCAGGAAACAGCTTGGTCTAATAGCCTTGGCATTTGCTTCCCTGCATGCTGTGTTCACTCTTGTTACTCCATTGCGCGCCTTCGCAAGTTGGAGAACTGGCAAAGGAATCATCTCACAGGTAAGTTTTGTTCCCTGCTCTAAGTCTTCCTTTCTTCTGGCCCTGTTAAAATTAGACCATCTACCTGAAGCTTCAGAAATCCATGTGGACAGTCCAATGTTCTTTAAAATATTCCTAGCTTTTCTTTCTTTTAGACATTGATATATCTACATTTTATTGATATTTTGTTGAGCTGAGGGGATTTCTGGCCTCAGCCTTCCTCCTAGATAGTTGACATATTGATAAAATAATCAGGGAAAATGTAAACACTTTTTCTTCATATACTTTCAGGAATATAATATATTATGAATTTCTAATCTTACTTAATAAAGGATCACATATCTCTCTTCAAAAGGTCTACAGAACAGTGAAATATGTACCTCAAATACAGTTAATGACCTATATGTCATATAATTCCTCTCCTGTTTTTTGATCAGGCATTCAAAGTAAATCTCTGATGATCAGAGAGTTAATGTATAACATTTATCTCCTACTTACCTGTAAGAAAACTTTTTCTCCTAATTGGCGCTAAAAGTGATATCGCTAAAATACACCTGGTCTTCTTTTCTTCAGGTACTAAACAATAAAACAGAACCACTCGACCACACTAATGCCTGGCTTAGTGACTCTTATTTGGCTTTGGGAATTTTAGGATTTTTTTTATTTGTCCTTCTGGGAATAACTTCCTTGCCTTCAGTCAGCAACAATGTCAACTGGCGAGAATTTCGATTTGTTCAGGTAAGAAGACCATCTCTAAAAAAACCTTCTTCTAAAAAACACCTCCTTCCCATATCAATAGTGGCTATGGGCAGGTTTACTAGAGACTTCTCCATTATTATCTCCAAATGTGCATTATCCACCATCACACAGTGAAAAAAACATCTACATGGCCACACAGTTGTAAAAACTCACAACTGCTCTGATGGCTGCTTATGGTACAGTTGGGATTACTGCATTAACAAGAGAAAGCTGGGAAGATGTGAGCTCCTAAATAAAAAACAGAAAACTGACTTTGACATCAAATTCCACAATTGTACTAAGTGACAAAATAATTTAGCCATTTTATTGGGTTAATTTTTTTTGGTTCACAAGATAATTCAGTTAAAATGGATCTGAAAATTACTTTATAACTCAAATCTTCTCAATGCCAAGCATCTAAAGAGAATCTGCAATTTCTGCAGACTGTAAAAACTGCTGTGACTATAAACAGGCTGCCCGTGGTAACACTATAATCTCAGCTCTCCATTTGGAGGAAGTTTGGTGCAAGCTGCCGTGCCTCTGCAGGAGCTGGGCTGGAGGGGAGGGGAGGAAAGAGAAGGGGAAATTACTATCAATGAATGTTTTATCAAGGAAAAAAACTTGCACAGTATGATACTTCTGGATGGATTAGCACTAGAGCATAAAAAAATCTTTAATCTCTCCACTGAATGTCAGCGTTTTCTCTGCTTTGTCACAAATATGACAGCCACTAGGCAGTATGTGTGAGCTAGGAAAAATGATAAGGGTTATTGATGCAGAAAAAACCAAACTATTTAATCTATATCCATTTTAATTGATTTTTTAAAAAATAATAAAGCCTTTATGCTATAGAAAACAGTTTCACCAGTAAGCAAGTTGGCACAAATCTTACTTTGTCCTTAAATTTACATTTGTTCTGGTTTAATTTATTGTTTTAACTTCCATTTCTTTCCTTTTTTTTTCCTTCCTTCTCCTTTAGTCCAAACTGGGATATCTGGCACTGATTCTGTGCACTGCACACACACTGGTTTATGGCGGAAAATGGTTCCTGAGCCCATCAGCGTACAAGTGGTATCTTCCAGACATCTATATCCTCTCTCTCATTGTTCCATGTGCTGTACTGGTTGTAAAATTTGTGCTGATATTTCCTTGTGTAGACAAACCACTCACACAAATTCGGCAGGGCTGGGAGAGAAATCCCAAATACTCAGAACAGTCAAATTACATTATCAACAAGTCTGCTGTATAATTAGACTACACTGTATTATTAAAAAAAATATTATGAGAGCACATAAAAATGAAGTCTTAAGCCTACTCCATCTGGAAAGGGAGAGAAAAAGTGAAAACTTGGCCAGGCTCTGTATAAAACAAAGCCACCCCATTGACAAGCTTTAAATACAAATGAGGCCAGTGAGTTTCTGCACCCCAGGCATGCTTTCACGCAGGTGCAGACCCTCTACTTCGCTTTGTTCATTTCCCCTTGGCTATTTACCCACCATCCTGAGAAGGGTACGTGAGAAGTAGGTGGTGTTCCATATCCTTCTTCTGTTGTCCTGAACTCCTCCAGAGCTGAGCAGAATCACAGAAACCTTTGACAGTGTTTGCTCCTCTTTCTTATCCTGCCCATCAGGACTCAGCTCTACGTGCACCTACACATATCCACAGAGATCCATATGCACACCTGCATGAGTTTCCACACATTTCCCTGTTTCTAACCCCAGAAGCCACCAGCACCAACAGAACAGGTGCATGATGGATGCTAGCTAAGGAACAGAGCTTTGCCTCCTAGCATTGTTTATCTGATCCAAGGAGAGAGTGATGTTGATGCCTTAGAATAGTTGAGTAAAGATTTGTTTGGTTTGTATACAGGAACCCTGATGTTCAAAGTGTGTGGGTCAAGGACTGCTGAATCTTTGCTTGTACTGCTCTACCAGAAATTCAGGGGCAAGGGGAAGGAGTAGAGATCAAAATGGCAGAGATGTGAGAAATGCTTACAAGCCTCAGCTTTTCAAGTATAGGCAAAAAATGATCTGTGATTTTTTTTTTTTTTTTGTATAAGCAGTGAGTTGTAAGAAAATAAATTGAAGAAAAATCCTTTTATTTGAGGGGGTATATGTCATAGTCATATCTCATTAAGATAATGCTGTTGATTTTGCAAAAAATAAATCATTGGATGTGATATTACAGAAATTCTATGAAAATACACGTTTTAAAGACAATAAAGAAATTTTTTTTACACTGTTGAGATCTGTTATAATTTTGGGAACCTGTTCTACTAAGATGCAGCTGCTGGTGTGCTCAGTTGCACAAAGGTGTTGGGAAGCCTTGGAAAAAATAATAAAATAGGATCCTGTCTTCAGCCAGCTGCCTGGACTTGTCTTCCCCCATCTTTGTTTGCTTTTTGGATGCTCGCATAAGCAGATTTTTGCTTAGTCGTCCAAGTAGGCTGAGGATGTTGGGGAAAAACAGGTTCCAGCTGGGATGGTGACTTCCTGTTAAATTGCAAACAGACGATCCAACAGTCTCCTTTGGACTGGAGAAAAAAGAAAAGAATAAAATGTGCTGGTTTTATAGGAAGAAAACTGCATACTATTTTTTTACCTCTCTGCTGCTCTCCCTGTCCATACAAAGAACACTCACATACATGAAAGTATAAGCATGCTACATAGTATAGCTAGCTGTGCTTTCAACCTAGCATCATCAAGCCGCTTTAAAAAATAAAATAAAAAAAAACCCAAAACAAAAGAAACAACTATCTGAACAATAGTTCTGAAAACATTTCTCAACAATGGAGTCTTTTTTAATTCTGGGCAATACACCCTCTCTTCATGTCATCCTCTGTCCCATAATCTGTTCTTTATGCACAAAAGAATGGTAAAGTAGTCTGGAACATCAGCAACTGACAGAGCCAGATTTCTTAGAAAGAATTCTGGCACCAAGTACTCTTACTAACCAGCACTGGGGCATATGTTATAGTCGTCCTAAACTGATACACATATGTTGATCTAAGTCTTTACAGAAGTTTTTCTTGACCTGTGCCATGATGGAGTAGTACTATACTTCAAGCTGCTTTCAGTGATTTTCCACAGAATCATTTATTGCAGAAGGGATCAGGTATAGACTCAACAGGCCCAAGTCACAACACTGTTGTGAGGATGCCTGTAACACCTCCCTGGAGGAGAGATGGAAGCAGCGGAAAGAGAGGATGAAAACAAGACAGAACAAGAGAGAAAGAGAGAGAGATTGTCTTTGCATGAGTACAAAGGGACAGACAAGAGCAGAAAATAAGTAGCAGCAGTCTAAATTAATATCCTCTAGATTTGCCATTTTGGTGGTAGATTCTAGTCTCAGTGACATGTACTCCTGATTTATGTTATTACCAGTAGCAACAGTTCCAAAGCACTGACATATACTGGGTTTTGATACTACTTTATAAAGTATTTATTCTTGAGGTTTCTGCCTCTCTCCCAGTACAGATTTAAAAACCTGCCCTTCCCCTCTCACAGATGAGCCTGTGGGTTGGAGTTTAAACTCCAGCAGCCACGGCAAGTCCCATTTAAAAGCTGTGCTTTATGAAATACAAACACTGCAAGTGCTCTGCATCTTTTTCTCCAAGCGAACAGGCTCCTTTGTGTTTTCTGAGGGCCTTGTGTTAAAAGAGGCCAAACCAAGTCTCCTTTAGCCTCACCGGGAACCAGCACAAAGTTACCATGGCCTGACTGAATGCTGCTTTGTACACTCACTCACAGCCAATCCATAGTCCCAAACACCCACAGAACTGTCCTTCTGCAGGCAAGACAAAGGAACTTCTTTGGGGATGGATATCACGTTGTTTTGTCAAAGGAAAACAGACCAAGATGTACTGGAAATGCAAAGCAGCTGGGTACGATTTGCAATTTGCTGTTTACTCCAAGGATAAAGTGCCAATATTGGCTGTGTACAAACCAAGGAGGAGATGCTGTTTGCTTGCAAAGGGGGTGTACAGAAGCTCTCAGGAGCAGATCCAGAGCTCTTGCATCTGAACTCGGCAGCAGGTGCTTTGTTGACTTTAGTAGGTAATAGGTCAGATCTTCAACACTCACTTCTGCGTGAGGAATTTCATGTCCTCTTCATATCCTCTTGTACTTGGGCAGCTGAGGAGGATTTGATTTACAAATTTACTTCCTGAACATGGTAGAGAAAAAAAATTCAGTAATCATACTGGTAGTGAAAGTATTCGGTGGTAGTATTTTGAAAACAATAGCCAGTGCCAGGAAACTTGTTGGTAACTTGTATGCATTACTCATGGCTGATTTTATTTTTTTTCCTTTTATGTACTGACAAAGCCTGGTGAAAAAGGAGATCAGAAGGATCATGAAAGGAATTTTGGAAAGAGTGTTTTCCATATGGTTCCCAGAAGCCAAGAAAAGCTTTTATATATGTATATACATAATGCCATTCAAAAAACTCCTGCAGGAATAAAGCATTGATTCTTAGATCTACTTCTAAATCAGAGTCAACACCTAGAAAATACAAATTGCAGCATTTTAAATAAACGGTCACATGGATATTGTCACAGTAACAAGTTTGGGATTCATTATATAAGAAAGTTTTATTCTGATACACTACAGCACAGTGGGATAGACAGCATAGTGTGGGTAGACCTCTACATCCTTCGTGATAGGGTTAATTTAACTCTGCCTCTTTGTTATACCCGGGGAATATCTATTTTAACCAAAAAGTATACTTATTAGTGAAAATAAAGTATTTTAATTAATTAGATTTCCTTGAAACAAAATGGGATTTCTGACACACACTGGCCCCAGGGGATGCAGCTGACACCACAGATACTGCTGGATCCTGAACCATGGAGATCTGAGCAATTCCCTTCAGGTCCACCACACTGCGCACTGAAGTCCTGAGATCTTCAACTTATTTTTGCTCTGCAACACAGCCTTCTGTCAGGCTTCTCTGCTTTATCTAACAGTCACCTTTCACTCCAAGACATGACACTTTTGTGACCCACTCTAAAAAAGCCCCTTTATTCCTGTATGTCAGGCTTTTGCAGCTTCACTCTTGTCAACTCCTACCAGACAGAAGATTTTGCAAAAGCATCTTTTGTTTCAAATGCTGCTGAGCATGTTGGATTCATTAGCCCAATTCAAGAACTAGTGAATACTATGAACACTCACAGTAGCTATGTAACCCATGTTTGCCTGTTCTTCCTTCTTATGATTAGCATATTTAATAAGCATTCAGTGTACCAATAATAACCTAAACATGGTCTCTCTCCCACACAATTTGGAAGCTTTTCTTTCCTACAGAGATTATTTTTTTCATCTGCATTATACAGATATTTGTTGTGGATCTCCATTTGTATCACTAATTCCTGAGTAACATGAATGATTTTCTCCCTTGAGGAAGCTGACATTCCTCAAGATATAATTTTTATCTATCACCATGGAAAACTACACATCTCTTATTCTTGCACATTGCCTTAACATTCCTGACTCTGGGTACCCAAACTGACATAAATATTAGCTCTGGCAAGACTAGACACCTACAGATTCCTTTCTTATAAGCAACCTCTGTGCTACAAGAAAAATACACTACAGAATCTTTACAGGACATGCACAGACCTCAGAGAACTGCATGAAACTGAGCTACCTTAGCTAGTTTATTTCCAAATGCTGCAAGCCAGAAGTGATAAAATTTGTTCATATGTCTTCATAAAAATCCTCTATTCATGTCTCTGTTTTTGCTTCCACATCCAGATTTGCTTATTATTTGAGATACATTCCCTCCACTGTGCTTCTCTTCACATGTGCTCAGATTTAAACTAGGAATAGCTTAACTACAGTCAGTAGACTCAAGATAGTAGCAACAGTAGTAGTAACAGTGCAGAGGCCTTTTCTAGTTTGCTAGCTATCCATTAAATTTTTGCTCCAGTTTTATGGAAGATGGCAAAATGTAGTCTTTAGAAACCTCTCTTCAAGAGCCTTCAGAAAATAGATAAATGAAAATTGAAAAAAATATAAATTACTGTAATATGGTAACCATTACAGCACACAAGTGGTTGAACACCACTAGACCAAACTAGAATATCCCAAAAAAAAATGTTTGGGGCATATTATCTATGAAAGAGTGTTGGCATCAAAGGGGGGAGGTATTTTTAAAGAAACATACTGGAGAAAAGTATATGGAACAAAATTAAAAGGCTATTAGAATGAATGAGAGAGAGAGAAGGAAATAAGGACGAGGATGAAAACC